CTCCACACCCTTTCACCGGCCAGCTTGCGCGTCTCCCATCCACACCCCACACTGCCTCCACTGCACCATGAGGCTCACCAAGGCGGGCCCCAACGAGCAGCGCCAGAAAGCCGGGTCATGTTGTCCGAATGCCGGTTGCTGGGCTAGGAACTAGCATGCACGTGGCTTGGTGCAAGCAGTCACCATTTTCGTGCAAGCAGTCACCGATTTGATGCAGGGGGTAATATTATCTCGCACATGTGCCCCGATACACTGGAAATGTACCATTCTTGGAATTGTTTCCTGCCTGCAATCATGCCTTCAAAAATGCCCTTGCTCACCAGCGCAAGCAAAACGGATCAATCACATCAATCAATCACGTCAATTCCTCTCAACCGCCAGTTTGCCAGTCGATCAACTCACAGGTCAACGCTTCCTTGTTTCACCCCTGCCTGTATGCAATTTCTTTCGTGCCCACCGCTTCCCAGTTTGCCAGACACAACGCGACATGGGCTAGATGTTGACCGAGGGCCAGCAAAACAGGCGAGATGTGGCCCGAGGGCGCGAATACACGTGGGCGCTTTTTGCCGGCGCCCCGCCAGGTTTGACAGAGCGGGCAAGGGGCCACGGGGCGCTACCTGCCCGCCTTCGCTGCAGCGCCCCGGAGATGCGCACCGGCGCCGCCCGCAACGGATCAAAGTGACCTAGGCAGAGTCATCGCCTTCCCATCCCCCACATGCACCATTTCGGCCCCCGCCCACCATGCCACAATCCCCCAACCCCTCGCCCCCTCTCCGGCCCCGACCGCACGCTGGCCCTGTGGGGCCTGCTTAGCCAACCAGCGGCCTGCGCCCGGCCCTGAGTTTCTGGCGCCGGGCACCGCTGTCGACGGTTTCGTTGCTATGATGTAAGCATGGGGGCACAGGCGTTGATGGTTTCCCCGGACCGGGCGGCACAGGCGGTGATGTTTCCCCAGTGATTATGTAAGGGCTGGGAAAACATGTGGTGCGGGTGGCAATGTGGTGCCCGAGGGGGGGGCGAAGGCATAAAATTACTGGCTGCACCAAATCGGTGACTTTTTGCACCAAGTCACGTGCACATCATGTCCAACTCCGTCCAAACTAACCTTGCCTAAACCTAAACCCCAAAACCTAAACCTGAACCTGTCCTAACCCTAACCCTAACCCTAAAACTCACCCTGAAACTAAACCTAACCCTAAAATTGAGGTTAGGACAAAGTGTCACGTGACTTGGTGCAAGCAGTCACCGATTTGGTGAGGCAGTAATATTATTTCGGGGGCGATGGGGGTGCCAGCTAGGCAGGGGGCGCGTGTGCCCACTAGCGACAGGGGCACAGGCGAAATGGTGGCATAATACAGTACTGCGCTAATCTACGTGCCGCCCGCGCGAGGACAAGGTGGGCCTGAGCGGCCCTCCTGCGCCGCCTGAGGCCCGGGCGATCAGCGACAGGAAAATTTTGCCGCATCAGGGGGCGCGCTGCGCATCAGCGCCATGGCCGCCCGGCTCAATGCCCTCTGCAGCGCCGCCACACTCTTTCCCCACCACCCCACCGCCCCTGCATATCCCCAAAGCCCGCTCACGGCCCCGTGCACGCCATCCCGGCGCCTCCTTCTGCAATGCGGCGGCGGTGGCGAGCGGGGCGCGCCAGCTCGCCGCCCCTCCCTCCCCCACCCCTTATGGGCGGCTCCGATCGGCTGCCGTGCGCTAGCCGCGCGGCGTGGAGGCGCACCGGAGAAAGGCGTTTTCGGCCTCGCGGCCCGCCGGGGACCGCTGGCTTCTCGCTCGCGCGCTTAGCGTGCTCGCTCGGGGGGCCTGCGGGGCCGCTGCGCGGGGCTCCGCCCCGCGCCCTGCCTTAACTACTGGGCTGCCTGTTCTCGGGGGGCGCGCATGGGCGCGCGTGCCTGGTCTGACGCCGTTCGCGCCTGATCTAAGACCCTCAGGGACCAGGCATAGGCGTTCGCGTACGTCATGGGGGCGGGGGCGTGCGCCCCGGGCCGCCCGTGCCGGCGTCCCCACTCCGGCCAATCATCCGCCATTCGCGGATCCTGTTCGTGCGGCCGCACTTCTGTAAGACGGACGCTGGTGGCTGTGCCGCCAGCATGGAGGGTGGCGTGGTTGACCCGGCGGCAGAGGAAACCGGTGCACTGCACTGCCCTTGGCTTGGCAGGAGGGGAAGGGGGGCAAGGGTTGCGGTGCCGACGCAGAGAAGACGGGGTGCAAAAGCGGTGCCGGCGGCATGGCTTTTGGGGTGGGGTGGGTGGGTGGGGGGTGGGGGGAAGGGGTTTTGCGGCGCCGATGCAGAGAAAACGGGGTGCACAGTGGCGTGGTTGAGGAGCGGGGGGCTTTCTATGCCGCCGCACAGCAAAAGGGGGACACCGGCGGCGTGGAACGCATTCCCGATTGCGCGGCGCCGCGCACACAATTGCCAATCCAGCGTGGAGCGCATTCCCGTTTGCGCCCGCCGCGCGCAAACGCCAATCCAAACCCCATTGTACATGGAACGCATTCCCGATTGCGCATTCCCGACAGCCTCGCCGCTGTGCCCCGCGGAAGGGCCATCGGTGACCGCTCACGGGTCATTGGCGAGTGGCGGTCATGGCACCGGGGAGGGGGGGACAAGGGGGACGAGAGGGGGGGGAGATGTTGGCGATCGTGCTCCCTTGTGCGCCCCAACACGGGCGGTTTGGAGAGCTGTGCCGGGGCCGGGGATCCCAGGCCGTGCCGGGCGCCAGTATGAATGGGTAGGCCATCCCCAAGCCACTGGACGATCTTCTCGCCCAGCCAAACCTCCCACCCACCGATCCCTCCCCAGCTGGTCGGCGTCCACAGCCGGGGCGTCTGGAGGATACGTCACGTTGCGGCGACCCCGGCATTTCCACTTAAGGCGGTCTGGATTCTCCGCGCCTCCCAGCCGCCTGGGTGGTTCACACTCGGACCCACACTCACCTGGGGACCGCCGCGACCTCCCCGTCTCCCTGCCCGCAGGGTAGGGGCTGGTCCTGCGGTTCCGCGATCGCGGAACCGCATGGGAGGGGCTGGCACAGCCCAGCCCGTCCGTGCTGGACTTGTCAAATCACCCGAGAATCGGACTCCGGCACACCTGGATCAGGCAAAAATGCGTCCGTACCTTGCCACGCAACTGTCGGAGCAGGACATGTTCGACACAGTGGAACCGGGCAAATCGCCCCCAGCGTGCGCGTTTTCGATGGGCGCTGTCCTGTTGAGCATGGCACGACGCTCACGGTTACACTTCAGAAATAACACAACACTCTGTGGGCTGCACGCTTGGCCCCCAACGAGACGCAATCCGCACATGGGGTGTGCGTGGGAAGTGCCAAATGCGGCAGTTGACTGCCTTTGAGCTCCGGGCTACATGCAGGCGCAACGCCTGGGCCAGCCGTCCAAATTGAACTTGTGTGTGTAAGTCAGGCGGCAGAGCAGATCCCGGTTCAGCAGGTGTGCAGCTGTCGGGTTGCCATGAAAAGTCCTTCAAAAGCATCAATACGAAAATGCGCACGTCTTCTGAAGCCACATTCGCTCGGTGCAACAGGTACAACTTATTTTCAGCAATGCCCAGTCAGCATATGCTGACTGGATGCATCCAATTGGTGTTCCAGGCTCTTGGTTGAAAGTCCAGCGCCTCTCTAGCATTTAGTGTGTACGTTGAAACACCAGAACAGCTACCAAGAACTTCTGTTTTCCGTTCACATGTGTTATTCGGAATGTTGTAAATTCTTGAAGTATGGGGATTTCGGGTGCAGTAACCCCTACAGATACGGCAACTTTCAGCGAATTCTGCTGAAAATTGCGGATCTGTAGGGGATACTGCGCACCTAAAGCCCTCATACGTTTATTAGCAGAAGAGTTTACACTTTCAGTACCAACCCAAGCAACCTGCACTGCCTATTTGGCTGTTAACTTTCCGCTAATGTTTCCACATTCACACGCAAAACCTTTCGTCATTCAACTGGATCTGTTGGACCCATTCCCGAAGAGATTTGAAACAAGAGCAAAGAGCAGCAACACTGCCAAAATGCCAATTCACCAATCCCACCCCAGCAAGGCGGCACCGGAGCCAACGGGCCTCGAAAAGTCGTTCGGGACACTTCAAGAAGGCCATCGACGCGCTGCATTTTGGAATGGCATCTCCAGAGCAGTGCTTGCCAGTTTTACAGTCAGCGATGGGCGCTCGCCCTGGACTTCAATTATGTCTTGTTTCGCCCAGTAAAGCTGCTTTCACTTTGCTCAATCGAGTGAATGACTGCGCTTCTAGAATCGAGTGACAGATCTCTCACTCCGCTCGCTCCGGCGTTTATTGCAAACTCGCAAGAAACGCCGAATAGTGAAGCACGCACTTTACAGTGAAGCTGAACTTTTGAGTAAATGCAATTCACTAACTGCTCAGTTGACAGTGGTGCTGAAAGGCTCTGTAAATTAAGCAAGCCACAATTCAACGATTCTTGGAATTTCCTGTGCCCAAGAGAGCAGCATGAAATGAGAGAACATGACCATTGTGCCAAAGCCAGACATTATAACAAGTGAAACAATCATATCAGCACATTCCAAATGTCTAATTGTGCACACTACAACCATAAACTTGTGAAAGGGCGGATCTGCGCCGACGCCTCGATGGGGAAGAGGTAGAGGAATGGGAGAGGAAGAGGGGTAGGGCTAGCGATGGGGAGGAGTCCGTAGCTCTTCGGCCAAGTCGCATGAAGGAGCGCAAGCGTCAGCGACAACGGCTGGATTTGTACCAGGGAAGGGGAGTTGAAGGGGGCTTTGTCCCCACAAGTGGTGCACCACCACATTTCCGCAAATGCCCGCATGTCAAAAGGGCATGATTTTGAGTCTGTGTGTCTGTTCCGTGAAGCAACAATTCAGAAAATGCAAAATCTGAAGTTTTCCTAGAACAATACATGTGATATGCTCAGACGACAACAAAAATCCCACAGACGCCCATTCACCCGCCTTGCCATTCCTTGCATTTGAGAATAAGATACTCAGAATTTTCCGGCACCAAGCAATGGCGTTGGAGATTCTTCTATCACCACATGCGGAATATGTGCTGCCAAAATGTCAAAGTCATCCTGGTGAACATGTCCACTATCGACCAGTTCCAGGTGACTGAGTTGCCTCAGAGAAGTCAAATTCGTGAATCTAGCACCTGTCTCTGTATAGCAAGAGTACACCTTCAATGCAGTGAGCGCAGTCAACTCCACCACAGAACCAACATCCAGAAACATGCGAGACACGGACAGGGACATCAATGACGTGAAGTAGTTCAGCGTCCCAGTTCTACACCACTTGAGTACGAGCTCTTGCATCGATGTCAATGAAGACATGGCCCCCAATATGTGCTGTGTGAAACAGCGTTCAATGCTTAGAAGACGCAAGCGCGATAGCCCATTCCACGTCGAAAATTGTTCTGCGGAAACATGGAACCCATCAAGCTTCCACCCATGAAGCTTCAGCTCATCAAGGGAAGAAATGTAGCCAATTCTGTTCAAATTTTCTCGAAAAATGAGTCTCCTGTGGGAGCCTAGGAAACCCAAGTCACGTGCATGAACTTCGAGCCTGGTCAATGAAGGGAAATCTGCCAACAAGACAAAGGAATTCCACAGCCTTAAAGAGCGGAGGCCGATGAGCCCAACGAAATGATTGCTTGAGTTATTCCTGCCTCGAGCATCATGAAGCTCTAGCTCTTTCAACTGAGTAAGGTCCCCCAGAATAGTGAAACCGGAAGGCGTAGACTGGTCAACTCGAGGGATCCACATGCACAAAACTCTGAGTGACGTCAGGTCTTCAAGCCATTGTATCCCCTTCCGGGATATATTGGTTCCATTGAGAGTGACTTTCCTCAGGTTCTGCAAACTCCTCAGACGTTCAGAACCGAATGAAGTGACCTTGAAGCGTGCTGGTAACACCAATTCTTTCAAATTCCTGAAGTTCAAGGAGATTGTGTCGAGGCGATGTTCATGACTGAATCCTTTGTAGTTCCGCAATTCTATGCGACGGACATTTGCGTTTATGCATCGACGCCACATCTTGTTGACCCTGCGTAGAGATGCTCCATTTCCGACGATCGCCATCACCTCGCCAAGGAATTTCTCGACGTCCAGCATACATTCTCCTTCCAGTGGTTCTTCTCCTTCCAACGGTTTGAATGAACCCCAATCGCTGCCACAACATTTCGATCCCTTAACTGATTCACACATTTCAAAATGAAAGACTGCTGTTACGAGGGCGCAATTGCACTCATTGAAACATCACAATCACAGAGATAATCCCAATCCCATTTCGTAAGGACTCGGAAATTCAAAGCAACATTTGGATATTCCAAACATGACCACAGGGCTACTGCCGACTTGCGATTTCCAAACCACGATTTTAGGACCACTTCAAATGAATTAGTGATTGCATGGATAACATGCTAATGTAGCCTGAGCTTGATGTCCTTGTTTCTGTAGGAAAGGTCTGGCAGATCACATTTCGGTTGGATAAATTACCAGGGTTCGCGCGCAATCCCTCCTTTATGCACGCGATATATGAGCCACCACGTGCATCATAACATTGCTCCTTAGATTGGATCACACTCGTTTTCTTGTACCTTTTGTCGCAAATACTAGTAGCGTAAAAACCCGTTTTCTCAATTATTGTGCGATCGAATTAAATTTGCAACTACATGATAAGACCACGTTTGTGGTTCCCAACAGAGGCCAAAACGACATTTCTGCCAATCCCAAGTTCCCAAACGGCGCGATATCGCACCAGCTAGTATGATCGATCCTATTTATATCTGAAATTTCTTGTGTCAGTTGTGATCTAATACCAAGCAGCGGTATAGAGCTAGTGCCGGGAGCATTTCAGGAATGCCAGCGCGAAATCATTGCAACTCGTGAACACTGGCAGGAGGCTTTTATGCCTCGCGCACCACCTTTCAGAACATACCAATGGCAAACAACCCAGGAAGCTGAAATCCTCTGGTTTTGGTATAATAACTTCGCCAGCCGCAAAATAAATTGCATGTCACACTCGAAAATATTGCATCCAGGATCCAAGGCTCGTAAGACCATTTCCTTTGGGGCTGAATTTTGTTGGGCCGGTAGCGGGGGCGACCTGCCACCTCCAATTGGGCGCACAGTATTGCAGTATTGTGCTGTTCGTCAGCACAGCTGCATATCAGTCCAAAGGCGCTGAGGACTGCCCACGTGTTGCGCATACCACATATTCGTGTGCGACTGTCTGCGATTCTTCACACCTGTCGCGAGAAACATTCATTAAAATTTTCACATTCTTGTAGCCAATCATGCCCTTCATTTGCTTGCAGCTTTTCTGACTAGGATCTTCGATCCATGTAGCCTTCATTGGATATGGTCAGAGAGATGAAGCAGCTCGTGCGCTGAATGGTTTGTTGTTTTGTATCGCAATCTTCCCACGAAAATAGGCAGAAAGAGTCGGTTACCTCAGATCGGCTGGCTTGCTTCGTATTTGGGGTACATGAATCTGGCGCAACACATTTTGCATCAGTCGCTGGGTACATGTCAGGAGCAATATCTACCCAGGGCTTTACTCCCTTTTCAATTAATGGTATTCGGCAATTTGACAGCATGAATGGAAATTCCATAGTAGGCCAAGGTGGCTTTCGCGCGCACATCACACTATTCGTGTTCCAGAAGAGTACTGTTTTTGTTTCAAGAGTTTTGTCCGTTTAAAAAATGGTCAAACTGAAGGTGAAAACCTTATCCAGAAATCTGTACCAACAAAATTAAAGTCCGATATTTTGAGAACTGCTCACAGAGCCCTCAAGCGTAGCAAACATGATTGCAATTCTTGCGACAAGCCAGAAAGAGTTCAGGCGGCATTTTGCCTTGTGATGGAACCTAATCCAGGCCATGGCAAGCTTGTCTGCGCACTCCATAAAGGAGGATTGAGCTGAGCTACCCCTATTAGATGTGAATGGCTTCGTGGTGGGAGATTCGCAAAAATGGGGCTAGATTTCAAATCATTTTAAGGTGAGTTTTGAGCGTTGACATGTACTGTACAGATGTTGGGGCCAAAGTACAAGATACAGCTTGATTTGTGCAAGAGCGTCAACCTGGTAGTTGCACAACGGCCTGAAACATTTGGTAAAACGGTATACATTGATGCATATATTTGATATATATATATATATATATATATGTATTATATATGTATATGTATGTATATGATGCGTATTGTGTGCAACAAGGATAATGCATTAGTATTAATGAAACACTCGTCCGCACATCAGCGCTTGTCAATATTGACATATGGGAAGGCGTTGAAGCATTCATCGGCAAAGCATCAATGGCAAAGCAGCTACCAACATTCTGTCACCATCTACCAATTTTCCAGTTGAATACCGTGCACGGTGGTGACCATCAAAAAGGTGGTGGAAATTGATACCAATATGGCGAATAATTGAAAATCGGCGACTTCGGAAACACAGTTTCCCATAATGGAAAAAGTAATTCACAAGGATTATGGAAGCAATGATTCCACGGCTCTTGAAAAGTTTTAAATTCTCACTATTGAGGATTATGTAGACAAACCAAATTTGTAGGCAGTTGTAGGCAACAAACATTTGTTGTCTGCAAAAAGGTTCTTCAGGATTTGGGGACGGTTGGAGCACACAGGGATAAGGTGAGCACAATAATCTGGGGAATTGAGGCCCTGGAACAAGTAAACAGGGGAGCTGTCGATAAGGCTGTGTCCTGCGATATAGCGTTGACTCGTGTCGCCAAGATCCACACTAGCCCAAAATTCAGAAAGGAATCCGAATATGGTGACAGATCGAATAACTGAGCTGATCTCCAGTGTTGCAGCAAGATTGGATACATGGCAAGACTTTTGAAGCGGACGTAGTACGAGCAATTATGTTGAAATATGCGGCTAAATAAGCGAGTTGTGGCTCAGACGAAAGGGCAACATGCTCTCAACAAAACTAGCTTGCGAAATCCGCCATCATCAAAAATTGACTTTCAATTGACAGCGAAACATTGAACCGACAAATGTAGAATTTTGTCGCTTGATAGCATGACAACTCATAGTGTTAGCGTGGCTCGGCGGTTCAGAGATATGAAATCGGTTATGGAAGAGCTGATGTTACCTGCAGGGCCCTTTGGAACTGCTCCATTTCTGACAATCTCTTCCTCAGTTGAGCGTTTTCTTCCTGCATGCCAAAACTTGCGATGAAATCATCAGGCCTGTAGTTGCCGCGACAGATGCACCAAACAATCTACTAGCAGCTTTGCAGCAGGATTCTAATGTGCGCTTGTAGGATTCCCGTGCAATGATGGACACGGAGCTGTGTATCAATCCTTTCTGCTTCAGTGTGCGATGAGCACAAGCGCGGACGACGAATTACTAAAGCAAAATATGAGAAGGACAGTTACAAGCACGTTTTGTTAAGCTGCCTCCCCGGCACCACCAACAAATAGCTGTTGGCTGCATTATTGGTGTACTCAATATTAACGTACCCTATACATGTCAGACGATTTCTTTTTCATTCACAACAGGGTGGAATACGACAATTTGGTCGATCGACATTAACTGTTATTGCTCTTCATTAAACTGCTGATTACCTTCCACTTCTTATTTTCAGCTGTGAGGATCCTTTCTCTCAGGGTCAGATTCTTTTCCTACGGAGACACGCAAAATATGTTCATTCATGCCTGGCCAGCCATGTCCCGTAGTGGCAAATGCATGTGCATGGCCAGCGCTGACAGCCATGAAGTCTTCCACGGAAAAATTCCTGCCCACGGACTGCTAATTGCACAGAATAGACAACAGCGTCATGAAGAATATTAATAAGAACACAATTGGCAGCACATTGGCCGGTGCTAGGGATGCCACGATCAACTGATTACGCAACTGAATCGGCACCAGATAGAGAGAAAATAACCATTGGATTAGGCGTTTCCCTCTCCCAAATGCGTCAGACTGAGCTGAGCGCATGCATCACCGCGGGCGTGTGACCCCAAATTCCCCCCTCCGGACGGTATTCTGCTGTATCGATGGCCGAAAATTGCCCCTTCCCAACATTCGCGACTTGTGAACATAACTTGTAGCTTTCAATTTTCTGGGGGAAACTGATACACCCTTGCTGGATACCATGCCTGCCACGGAAGCGCAGCATGCAAGCGCCCCCCGGACTGGCCACTGGATAGGGGCAAGTCGTTTCGGCGTCACCAATACCCGATCTGGCCGAGCTCCTCAACCTCCACAGTGCGGCCCCCATTTCAGAGCTCCAAGCGGAAACCACCGCTTCGAAGTAAAACAGCTCCTGAGAAGCGACCCAAAACGCTTGGAGCACAGCGCGACCAACCCTTTGCACGCCCTCTTGATGCCAAGCTGCTGTTTCCCCCCTATGAGCAGCTGCACATGCGAGCCAGGGATTTCCGTCGCGTGTGCCTACCTTTCTGCGGCGTTTCGCTTGATGAGAGGTTCTGCCTGACCACCGCGACACCTTGTCCCTGCGCCCGCTGCGGCCCCCTCCACCGCCACCCGCAGCGTCTTTTGGGCGATCGGCCATTCGGAATCCCGACATCGCGAGGATCTCGCCACAACACGGCCCGACTTGCCCCCGGGCGGCACTTTCAACTCACCCTCCAGCAGCTCGTCGCCGGACTGCGTGCCGCCACTTCCGCTGTCAGTCGATCCCGTATCGAGGCCCCCGCCCATGCGCACGGCCAGCATGCTGGCCTGGTTACTGGTCAGCCAGCGGTTCCACCAGCGCCGCTTTTGTACGAGGAGCACGCGCTTAAACCTGGCCTGTGTTGCCAAAGATCCGGAGTAGTGGTTCCGGACATGTGATCCGGCGGTGGGCAGGGGCCTGTTGACGCCAAGGCAGTGGTCCACGCATCAGAGGGTTGGTGGCTTCAAAGCCACCAGTTCAGAAATTTCAGAATCTAAAGGGATAAGGCGCTTTGTCAGCCCTCGAAGGGCACCCCGATCCCCAAACGGTCTCTGGAGAGGGTTGAGAATTGCCGCGCCCCAGTCGTGGGACCCGCTGTGCGTCTCCGAGACGCGGCTGGCCGGTCCTGGTGAATGCACCTGGTGCGGAAGCCGTGAGTTTGTGGTGACTGCTGCTCTCTGGGAGCAGAGGGGGCTGGAGGCGGGCACTTGTGGTTCGCCACCGAGCGGCGTTGCTGCCAACCCCAAGACGTCCATTCGAACACGTTGCAATGGCTGGGAAGCGGCCTTTGGGTGTGTGGTAACCCTCCGGGCGAGTCTTTATCTGCCTCACCAGTCGGGGTTTCAGTCGGTCAGCGCAACGAACCCCGACGGCTTTGATGAAGCGTCACCGGAAACTCCATGTATTGTCGGGTCTTTGTTGCGTGGGGGACGTAAAGCGTGTCCGAGCTGCAGTCAGTGGATGCAGACGTCCGAGGTTGAAAGTCATGACATGTGGATGGAGTGTGGCAAACAGTGCCCTGCCACCTGAGATCTCGGCGGTTCCCGAGAGGGTGTGCCCACAGGACCTGTTGTCAACGGAACCGCCGGCGGCAAGTGTCGATGGTAGCCCGGTAGCGGCGGTGTCACCGGCGGCGATCGCCCACGCGTGGTCAGCTCGAGAGGCGGGAAGCATCTTGGCTTGAGGCTGCTCATTGTGCGACTGTCGGCGGCCATCCACTCCCATCTCTGGGTGCAACGTGCCCCACTGAGCGACGGCAGTATCAGGCCGCGAATGGGACGCCAAAGCAGTATGCGTACTTCCACCGTTGTCGCCAGTCGCCCACTGGGCAGCGTCCACAAACTTTGAGGGGATCCTTCCGCCTCGCTTTTCGCCTCAGCCGCCACCCACAAACCCGGCGACCGCCGATCTCATTATCCTGCACCAGATGCATACGCCTCTCTAATCCCTTCCCTTCCGGCTGGTCCTCACTTGCTAATAGCCAGTGATTCGATACGGGGAACTAGCGAGGTTGTGGCGGTTGCACCTCTGGGCAACACTCACGAGCACCAGGGTGTACAGGCGCCAACCCGGAACCCACATACACGGGTGTGCCCTTGCATCCGCTCATTCTCTTGGGACGAATCCCGATCAAGCAACGCTCAGCAGGTTTCACCTGTCCTGCGTCGGTCGGAGCGTTCCAACGCGTGTCCCTGACGCCCATTCTCTCGACCCTGAGGTATGGGCAGCAAGCCAACGAGCTGCGCAGCCCGGTCGCGCGTTCGCGAACGTACGCCCGTGTCATGAGGTATCGTCCGCATGTTGATCGGCCCGCCCCATGCGTCCAGATGGTGGTGAGCACCAAACTGCCGCCTCATGTCCTGTAGATTGGTCATTGTTAGGATTATCGCATTTTGGCCGGCACGCCAGCCACTCACGCAGCACGGTGTTCGGCCACTTCAATGCACACTCTGACGATGGCAAGGGCAACGACGGCGTGGAACGAAAGTTCGTTTTCTGCCCCTGCCAGTGCGTCTGGCTGCGACCCCACGGACTCGCTAAGTCTGTATGGACTGTTCATATGTACGTGGATTGTGATTACGTTGTATTTACGTATATTTATGCATTTCTACGTGTAAAAATGTAAGCTATTTTACGCGTAAACATGGAAATATAATCAGTTTTTACGTCGTAAATAACCAGCCTGGTTGTGATAAGAAGGATAGAAACGTAAACGACGACATGAGAGATGGAACAGGAAGTCTCCAAATTACGCACAGCCCGAATCATCGGAAAATATTGCGCAAATTCAGGGGTTTGCGTACCTTGCGCGATTCGGCAGTTGCAGGGATATTGAAGGACCATGTGTTGAACTGCAGGGCAACTTAGAATGACAGGTGTTCAATGTGAAGGTAACTGTGCAAAAGACCGTTGTTGAAATGTCTCTACGTCACAGTATGCCAATGAAACCTTTTGGAGATGTTTCCAAGGAACCATGGTGATTGACACAGGAATCTACATTTTAGATGAGCGGGCATCGCATCGAAGCGCCTGGGAAGCACCAAAACACTGGAGATGCACCCGTCAACGATCACTAGGAAAAAAAGGGCCAAATAACACGTGTTCAAACGTGTACAAAGTTTACGGGTTTGTGTTATTTTTGTGTTCTCAGCTTGCAGAGCTTTGATGAAATGTGTTTTATGTGTGTTCACAAAAGTGTTACTTGGCCCTTTTTCTCCTAGTGGATTATTACTGACATGAATCCCTCACGCGTTTCAGTTCCATGACTGATTTAAATGCAGAGCGCCCCGAATTCCATTCTCGGGTTGTTGAAGAAGTTCCATGCTCGTTGCACGAAGTCCCTAATGGGAGGTCACGGGAGTAATCAGGTCTGGGATGAGGCGGCCTGGGTCGTGGGATGGAAGATTGTGCTTGAGCTGTGACAGTTGAAGGAGCTGAATTGCCACTTTTCGTATTCATGCAGAGCTGGACTCTGAGTTGGCTGACAGACGAAATCGTCTCCGGAAGTGTTATGACCTATCTGGAAGCCGTTGAGCCCCAGCACAGAGCGCAAGGCACCGCAGAGAGGGACCCGGAAAGCGCGCGTGCCACCGGTAGTTCTTCTCGGTGCTTGGGAAAAAAAGCGCACCCAGGTGCAGGAATGCCGGTGAAGGAATGCTTCGGTTTGAATTCCTGCCACAAGGCTGGCCGGGAGATGCATGCCTGCGTCAACAGGTTGTATCCGTGTGAATGGGGATGCCGTGCAGTATTCTGACAGAAGCAATGATCCCTGGCGTATTGTGGCCAATGCCAAACATGATGGGGCTGACTGCCCACGCAGTGCGGATGCTGCTTTGGTTGTTCAGTCAGATGCTGGTGGAGCCTGACGCCCATCCATCCAGCCAATGGCATTGGATGTTGATTTTATCAGTGGGTCGTGAGTGGCAGACATTGTTTCGGGCCTGCATCGATGTGTGTGGTGGACATGGGGATGACTGTTGTGACTCGTGGTTACACGATCCAGACTGATTGCAGAACGAATCGCCTGCGTTGTCAGTACAGTGGTGGTGTCGCAAGAGATACCGCAGGATACGACTGTCCACGATAGCTGTCACCTGCAGTGCATGATCTCGTTATCCCAGCTGCAAAATGGCAGCTTGTGATGCCGAAATTTATCTGTCGGTCTTGTAACAACATTGATGTTACTTCCACGTTGCAGAGGAGGTAATTTACAACTATCAAAGCACACGGACGCTGCCATGGAAATTGACAAGGAGTAATACGCTTAACAAAGAAGGGCAGTGTAAAGGTAGGCGGTCCATTCTGGCCACCATCCCCGGAGATAGCGCAGTAAACCATCATCAAACGGGCGCGTCGACAGCCTCAGCACCACCTCAATTGAGGTTGCACTGAAAGATCAAGATTTCCCTCATGCTCAAGCGAGCCGGCTCTCCACAAAGAGCGTCAAGGGCGCAAGCGCCCTTGCAGAACCTCAAAAAGCTCCCGTTCAGAGCGCCATAGCCCGTCGCAGCCATTCCCCAAAGGTCGGCAATGTCAGGGCACCGGTCAGCCCCACGGACCAGGGCAGCCTGGTCCACAACCCAGCAACGCAATACACAGAAAAGGCTTCTCTCCACCACGACGAGGCTGCGCAGCGACGAAGCTTGGCCACTTTTGGCCGGCAGCACGACCGCACAGGCAGTGCTGGTTTTGAACAGCAAGGAGAACGGCTCAGAAATGTCTCAGGCTGGCCACGGTTGCGCTCAGGCCTTGACGAACGTTGCGCACACAGCCAGGAGAGTTAGGCAGCCAGGACGAATACCCAGACCGCCGCGAGAGGCACATGCAAACCCGGCACAGCCGTTCTTATAGCTGCCATGCCAAATGCAACAATACAGAGTCCCCCCCGGCGCTCCCCATGGCCTCAGTGCCTGTAACCCCAAAAGCTCCGGCAAATACCCCCCATTCCCCAGAGATCCTCTTTTGGTACCCGGAATCTTTCTGCCACACCCGCCGTTTCACCGCAACTCGACCCGGTACGCCCCACTTCCCGCCATCAGCAACCACGTAATGCTCCACGCGCCATGTTCCCATGAAGCAGCCACATGGCGCCCCAACGCGCCCCTTCTGGCTCAGTCTCACCGAGCTCCATGGCAAACCGCCAGCCGGGCAGCCCCTAATCAGTTGCACGCGCCCAACAGCTACCTGGCTGCTCATCAGTACTTTACGTCGTTTGGGGGCGTATTGCGTAGTAGTAACTCTGTGTTGGCATCTCTGCTATGTTTCCGCGGGTTATTTGGGCATATGATGAAGCTGCCGTAGTCTCTCGTTGTCATTGAAGTCGTTTCTCAGTGTTTTGAATGCCTTGGTCTTGCATATTACCAAAAAAATTTGGAGCACCCCAAATTGATACTTTTGGGGACTTTCCGTATCATTGAGAAGCAGCCTTCTGGATGGTAATGAGTGCGGCGAAGGTGCTGAGGTTGTCGACATCTCCCTTCCACCACTTCTGGATCCAACGGGTCGCCAGCTGAGTGATATCATTAGTATACTAATTGCTCAAATGTGCCCCATTTATTGGCGACCGAACAGCAGTTGAAACAAAGGCCCAGCAAAACCTTCATATTTGTCTTGTGCTTTCAGCCCAGACGGTTTTAAAGGGACGCGAGAAGCAAACACTTGGCAACTATGTGACTGTCCATGTTACCTGCCTGACACCTTTGTGTCATTATTCGTCAAAGGAATCCGGGCTGTTCGGCTGATTAGGTAGGAAACAAAGCGGGTCAATAAGCAGAATAGGAAATCACACACACATGGGGCGAAAACCCACATTTGATTGGATCAGCTGGTCGATCGCCAGACTTCAAACTGCACGGCAAGTGGAGCCCTCCACCCTGCGTGAAAAGCCGCGGCAAAAAAGCCCGCCTGTACAGAACACCCTGGGAAAAAAGCTCTGGGGCGGGAGTCCTATGGAAGAAACACAAAAAAGGAAAGAAAAACAAAGAAAAAAAATGACGACTAAAAAATCTGTTCATGAAAGTTTCTGCTCGCCAGCCCCAGGTTTGGAGCGCGGGGTGGTTTTGGAGGCCGAGCGGCGATGCCTTCCTGGGCGGAGGCCTACCGGGAGTGGGCGCGCGCCCACCCCGGCGTCCTGCAGTCCGCGGGCGAGACTCTGGACCAGCTGACGTGGCTGCTGCCGCAGCGCTTCAGCGGCTCGGAGGTGCTGTCCGAGAGCCTGAGCGCGGCGCTGGGCCTGGCGGGCCTCTGGCACGGATGGTTCGTCAGCGACTGGGAAGCGCCGGGACAGTCGGCGCCGTGGCCGATGCTACTGGCGATTGTGAGGAGGGTGAGTGGCCTGCGGGTGGTCCCATTGAGCAGAGTGCCGCGCGGTGATTCGGGTGTTGTTCCTATGCGTCTGGAGACTTTGAATGATCGGTTGCGACCTTGGGTCTTTTTGCCGTCTTTTTGCGCCGTCTTATGGCCGTCTTGTGGCTGGGGTGGGGCGCCAGATGTGCGACAAGTTTCCCCGTTCTTTGGCAATGGATCATTGGGGTTGCGCTGGAAACAACGACGGTGGTTGAGGGGTTGGGGATTGCGAGTCCAAGGGGGGGGGGGAAAAACTCACGAATGGGGGCAAGATTGTGTCCTCCTTGTTTTGCCTCTTCAGTGGGGCTCCTGCTAAATTTCCCCAAAGCTGGAGGTAAAGCAGGATGATGCCTCGTGAGTTTGTCTTGTAGCAAAGGAGAATCACGAATCGGGGTTGCCGGGTTAGAGGGTGGGGTTTTGGATAATGGGCCCCTGGTTGGGTGGGTTGTGCTGCAGGGAGAGCTTGGGAGAGGGGGGGCGGCTAGGGGACGTCCCCAACGGTTGGGGCGATTGGGAATTGGGATTGGGGGGCATGCTGCTAAGAAATTTGCGGCTTGCACCCCTGGGCTGGCGTGATTCTGGGGTGGAAGGGCCGAAGGTGTTGGAGAAAGGAGGTGTCTAAGCGGGGTTCCAATCCCTTTATGGGCTGGTGACGCCTGGAGCGATGTGGGCGCAAAGAAGTTCTGGAAAACTGCAAAGGCATGCGAATTTGTGCCTGGTCTGCGGGTATGGGGTGCGATTGTGGGTGGGTTGGGGCGGAAGAAAGGAGGGGCACAGGCATTCCTCAAGTGCATTGATTGCACACCCCAATAAACTTAGCGGAGTGTGGACCGGTGTTTCCGAAGGGGTACAGGGAGGGGGGGGAGGCCCAGGACGTCGCTGCTTGCTGCCTGCTGCTGCTGGGGGACTTTGTGTTTGTTTCCGCAAGGGTTCACAGTCAAACCAACCACCCGGGCACAAAGTTCTGACAGAGCCAGGTGAATCATTCCAGGCGAAATGCTTCCAAGAATCTGGACAAAGCACAATGTGTGGGGATGCCTCTTGCGGGAGTGGCAGGGGCCTGTTTGGATTGCAGGTTGCGGACACTTCCAAAACAGGCTCTGTGAAACGCATGGCCCAATGAGAGTGTGCTGTGCAGCCTTTTCGCATGAAACCTGAATGTGTTTTAGCAGTTCGTAGTTGTAGGCCAGTTATTGTTTAAGCAGTTTGGGGCTTGGAGTGCGTCAGGTACGAAACGACTGAATGGAAGGCGGTATGGAAGAGGGAAGGTCAGAAAGGCTGGGCCAGTCATTGAATGATGCCCCCAGGCATCCCGCTCATTAAGTCCATTGAATGCATTCCAAGGAAATTGAGCTAGTCGCCCTGTCATGTGTTATGCGATTTGGGCCCTAACTAAGTGGATAGGTCCCGCCAGCCTGATGTCAGGTGCTGGAACAAGGTGCAGCTAAGATTGGCATTGTTCCATGCATTTGCACCTTGCAAGCCCTGTTGTGCATGCGATGTGTGCACCTTGTACCCTTTGACTTAGTGTCGGGCATGAACGCATGATCGTCGAGTTATTTCACATAGTGCCAGGCAGGCAACGTGTGCACATCCAAGTCTTCCACACAGGAGGAGATTCTATTTGTAGTGTTGCCTGTCCTGTTGTCGATTCTGGAGCTACGGCTCACTGTGACAAAGAGGTGTGTCCATTTTTCTTTGCGATAGGCCTGAGCAGGGCAGGTTATTTGCTCCTCTTTGTTGTCACAGCATGAAGCACACCCCTAGCACCCACAGGACTATGACCTGTGTTTGTATTCCACAGTTGTCTGTTTCCCAAGTGCCGACAGCCCCCGCTTGCAAAGCAGCCCTATGTTGTGGCAGTTGCCTTGACTATCAAAATGTTTTGACCCCAGCTCCGATGTCACTGTTGACAGCATAAACTTTTATCGACGGCATACATCAAATATGAAGCTTGGTAGCCTTTCATCTGTAAGGCGATGTCAGGCATGGTGTACACAAAAATGATGTTTTCTGAAGCTTTCCTGATGGGCATCATGGGTGAGGGGCGATGCAATTCCTCATCCTGGGGGCGAAATGTTGTTGGTGCAATAGTATCTATTGTGCACAATGTTGATCTGCAAGTGAGCTGTAGATATGTGCCCAGATCACTCAGCTGTGGGGCACCAAGGATTGCAAATGGGACCCATTCATGTGGATTTGTTGAAAATCATGTGTTATGATCATGTCCGATGTCAACCCCTAGTGTACTAGGGGCTGACGTCAGACATGATCATAACGATGTGGAGAGGATCGCATGACTGTGGTGTATAAGAGTTTGTTAGTCTTCCTAGTTGGGACTGTTTAAGTGAAAATTGTGTGTGTGTGCAGTTTTTGCCAATGGATTTTCTACCAGCACATGTTCTTTCCCTATTCTGAGAACATTTTATCCCAGTAAAGATACAGATGCTGCCCCCCCTCCTAACAGAAAGATGTTGGCCTCGTGCCATCTCACAGGAGAATGGGGTGATTTCCACTGCCAATTATCATTTCTCCAAAATGAATGCTCAGCTTAAATAGAAGAAGTGCATTACTTGGGCAGGGGTTGGGGTGGGGTGAGATCTGGCCATCAGAAATCGTGGTGAATCGCAATTGTTTGATCTGATGATCTGATTGCAGAGAATGTGACCCTTGATCGTATACCACAGCAAATGTTGTTGGCAGACCTCTGAGGAGATCATGCAGTTGAGGGTGGGTGTTTTTGCCAGGTTGAGGTGCTGGTGGAGATGCGTGCCAGTTATCTAGAAGACCTAGGGAAATGGAGCAAATATGGACCCCTTATGGTCGTGGAATTGACCAAGTGAGTGACCATGTTGCATACCCACATCTTATTAAGCGTCAGTAGCAAGGAAATATGCACACACAGTGAGTCCATGTTGTAAATGCTGAGAGCAGAATTTAATAGATGGCACCGGGGCGTGGCAACAAAGCAGTTGGCCAACAATAAGATGCTTGTGTCAGGTTCCATGCTGAAGTGCACAGCTGATCAACTGCCCTCAATGGTTGCGTCATAATCAAAGTCAAGTAAACAGAGTAGAGCAGCCATTTCTGCACAGAGGTTGTGGTGAGCGCTGACCTCCATCAGCAACAATGCACATGTTTTCATCTTGCAGAGTTTTGCATTGACACCATTCTTGAACGCCTTTCGATCTTTGCTGGCATCTTGCAAGGCATTGTGCCACTCATTGCTGGCTGCTGCCCTTTGCTAGCTTGTGAGGGCCTTTCCACAGCAGTGCCTGTGTGTCTGAATGTTACCAAATCTTGCAGCCTCCACTTTGCCCTTCCACTGTTTACATCAGCACCGACATTTGCTTCCCTTGCTGGTGCCACCAGGTCGCTCTTGCGACTGTTCATGTTCCAGAGCATGGCTTCCCATCTTGCAATCGACTCTGACACACCCACGATCCGGATGCAAGCCCCCACGGGGCCTGGCACACCCTACTCCGCATCCTGTGGTGACCGGCCCCCAGCCCTTATCACCGCATTCGCAAGGCTGAGGAATAGAGACAGGGTGCTGTCACCTGAGATGGTGCAATTGATGCCCCAAGGCTTGAACGACGATCCCCCCTCAGCACAATGTAGCCAGGGCACTGATGGGACCGACCCAGACACCGCAATGCACCAGGAAATTGCACTGCCAGGTCAGGGACACCTCCACAGTGCTTGTGTCACTGCTCATGGTGGTATATGAATAAGCAACATTTGTGTACCATAGTTGTTGTACCGATCGTTGTTATGCTGAGATGGAGTTGCTGCAGGGCAGATGTTCTACTGGTCCAGCGTGGAACCAATGCAAAGTGGCAAATCTGCCCAGTGCTGCGTAATTGCACATTTATTGCGTGTTGGATGCACACTCACGTGATATTCCATTAGCTATTGCATGTACGTGAATGAATATGTTCAACTTTAGTCCAATTATCGTTAGTTGCTGTTGTGCTGGAAAGTGTGTATCGGCAGCTAGTTAGAGTTCAGCATGTGTCGCCTCTTCCATTATGGGACGCTCCTACTATTGCCTTACCGTACAGCTTGGTGCTTTGGCCTTGTATTCATTTCCCTGGCCGTGTACCCATCATCTAAGAAGAGGTGTTCACAGGCAGCAAACACTGCATGTAGATCACGATGAGCATTGCAATTATTGCTCACACTGTTTGATAGAGGACTGAGATCGTATCTTCTTCTGCAGCATTCAAGCTCTTGAGAGCCTGTGGATCAAAACATTGAGTGTCAAAAGCATGTATCATAGTGGGATCAACACTCTTTTGCTCAAGAGGAGTACAAGACTTTGCTACTGTGACTCTGCTCGGATTGCCCCACAATGGCAATGTCACTTTGTGAATTGTTGGACCATCTTCTCTGCCCCTTTGTCCAGATAATGGGGAACCCAGTGGCGCCTCCGGCGTGGCATCTCCCCGCAGCGACGGTTTTGAGGTCATCTGGAACGAGCATGTCAAATCGCACGGGGAGCCCCTTTGGTGGCAGAAGCCAGGATTGGCGCTGAGCAGCGAGGAGGGCCCGTTAGCAGCCATGGCGATGCCTGGGGCATCCAGTCAGCATGCGCTGGGCCAGAGGGTGCTGCTTGTCGGGGAGTTGTTGCAGATCGTGCGGCCACTGCTGTATGTGATGGCGCTGCGAAGGTGAGCTCCCCCAAATTGTGGTTTACTGGTCTGTCCGCATGCAATGGGTGCCGTTGATTGCTGCTTGTTGATTAATCTTTTTTGAATGATTTGGATTGATCTGGTCTGTGCTCTATGGTGGTTCGTTTGCTCATTCCTTGCACATCTGCATGTCTGCCAATTTAATTTCCCTCTGTATATGCCTCTGCTTGTATTCGCTGGTGTTCATGGACAACAATCTATACTGCAACCCAGCCACTCTTTCTCTGAACTTTTATTCCATTGCTCGGGCATTTGCTGCCAGCAACGCAAATACTCCTCTTGATAGCTTTTTGTAGCTTGGTGTTGTTGTGGCCCTGTCTAGTGGTTTTTGGTTTCAGGGTTTTATTTTGCAAGGTATAGGGTCCATACATGCAGTATAGGAACGGGTGGCCAAAAGCTTGACCGCACAGATAACGGAGTTTGTATGCCCGTGGAACAAAACGGGCTCTGCATGCCTAGAGAACAGGCTGCACATGCATATGACTGGATCGTATCCGGCACTGTGACACTACTGCTACGTTTTGATTGCTTTAGCACTTTGTTGGCAATAATTGCATTGGGCATTCTGGATGGTTGACCAACCACAGTTGTAGAACCAGAATACCCCGATTCTCATATCATGATGCCATGCAGTATGACCAAATCGACGATTCGGCCAATCAGCCTGCAGTCGAAAAGTTGGTCTATTTGCTAACCACCCAGTAGGCCAACATTACCTGTCGATCCATTATCATAACAGTCATGAAGATGGGAATATTTATTCAAAAAATCATCAAACTTTGATGATCAACGCCTGTTGCGCCACAGGAACGGCTGCCACTCATGGGCACCCTGGCTGCTGTCCCTGGGTCTGGAGCTGACGAGCCACCACCTGGTAGCCAGGGGGGGCGACCTCATGCGGGAGTCCGGCCTGTCGCCCCATGACGGCCCCGGCAGCCTCCAGGAGAGCACCTTCCTGTACATGCTGCGCCTGGCGAACTTCGAGTGGGGCCCAGCGGAGGCCAGGGAGCTACGGCGCAGGAAGATGCTGCTGCTGCTGTACCTGCTGAGGAGCCCCTTCTTCGATCTGGTGACTGGGCGGGTGGTGAGGGGAACCGGGCGAGTGTTCGGCAGGCTGCCACTGGTGGGGTGCCTGGCGGGGAAGGCGGTGGAGCTGCTGCTGGGGGCGCAGCAGTATTACTCATACACGAGCGGGAGCTAGCGGGTGCCATTACTGCACTGCTGGGGTGTGTGCTGTGTGCTTGCACGTTTTTGTGATCGGATTCCATGGAGGCTTGTGTTGAAATGGGTCTGTTTACCTGCTCTGGCCGACTGAATCTGCGACAGGCGTCCAGGGCTTCTAACATTGTTGGCCAAAGAGTTGGCATCGTGCACCAGAAACCATATGCCAGAAGAAGTCCTATGCCCAGGATATCGAATGTACTATGGGCGCCCCATGCCCTTCAAATGCTGGATATCAAATATGACAGGCATATATTCTTGGTGTATTTGCTCTGGATGCAGTCCTGTCCTGGATATGCATACGGTTATGCAACTTGTTGTCCAAGGAAGCGGAAGATAGAAACGAGAGAAAGACTCCAAGTCGCATGCAAACGTGATCAGGAAGGGGTGGGTGGGGCTGGGTTAATGGGTGAACCAAGTGCGGGGATTCAGCGCTGTATAGCAGGTCGACTTCTGCAGGTACGTCTGTTGCAGTGTTCCTGGGGGGCTTGAAGGTGCGACACGCTTGCAATGCGAGTCGCCAGAGGTTATAGCAATATCTGGCGTACGAATCAGGGTCAGCCACACCATCATGAAAGCGTTTGGTGGGCGATTCCTTCCTGCCATCACTCCTCGAAATTGATTCTGTGTGTTGGCACATGCGGTCCGGCGTGCGCAACATGGTAGTCACCAACTTTTCGGGTGTGGAACTGTCCAAATATCGCACACCAAACTCTCAGGTTCTCGGGTCTGGAAACACAGCGTCATGTGGCAGATTGACAGCCATGGCCTGATGTGACGGACTGCTAACCACTGCACAACGCAGCTCCTGTATCTGTGCTCGACGACGGCAGTATTTTCACACTCACAGAGACACACAAGGACTGATAAACTGACAATTGTGGTCCTGCTGCACATTTGCACACACCTGCCAAACACACTTGGCAGAGTCCCTTCTGCACCCACCATCATGTTGATGTGGTACAACATAACGCCACGTAGAAGCCGGTCCAAATGGGAGAGCCCAGTTCCTGGCCGTGCTCCTGTTTAGCCAATAGGTCTCCCGCACCACCAGGCCAATGTACAGCGCCAGCAAGTGGAAGTACCAAGAACCCGTGACCCAAGTCACAGCGGCAATGCTTGGGACCTCCTGTTACGCAACTCCCTGGCCATTTATCTCTCTGCTTACCGTGGAAAAAGTCCTAGCTGTCTGCCGACAGGAAGCCGTTTCTTCGGTACAGCCATGTTGATTACATTGGTAGGTGACAAAGCATTAAACAAAACAAGCCAACGAAACAGGTGCTCTTCAAGCTGTCAGTTGCGATGTCGTGCGTTGCTCACAGATGTGAGTATGACCAGCCAAAGGCAACCACATCATCGCAGAGGCCAAAATTGGCTGTATGGGCGACCCAAGAGCACACGCACCCCAACCTCTGCCTGTGGTGCTCACCGGGCATGATGCGCTGGGCACGCCCCGTGAAATTGCCCTTCTCAGCGTCATTCGTTTTCACCCTTCAACTGTACATGCAGTAATCGTAGCTGCAGCTTGGACCAGCCGGCAGCCGTCGCGTGAGCATCGCAGAGCTCCAAGGAGCAAACAAAAGTCTTTTAGCTCCTTGTCGACTGTGTTCTCTTCGGAAAGATCCGGAAAAGGATGTTCTTGGTTTGACTTGTCATGATCGGGATGTGGCCAGTGCTCCCAAGGCTACCCTTAGCATTGCTGCAGTGAAAGCAACCATCGATGTTGTACTAGTGCAATATTACACAATATAGTAAAGTACTGTTTTCAACGGTGTTTCAGCAATGTTGAACTGGTGGAGATCGTGAATTTGCAATACAAACCGGGGTATGATGCGCGGCTCTCATTGCTTGCACGCTATTGGCCACAAGAACCCCCATTGGTGGTAACAAGTCGCAATATGCTTACTTTTCCTTGGGTGCCAGTTATGGCCAGTTTTGCTGACGTCCAAGTTCTAGCTCCGGCAGTTCATACATGATCCTGTATATTCACCTGCCAAGTGGGATGCTGGTGGTACCCAAGCGCAATAGGAATAATTCACACCCACTAAAATGTGAATCATATTCCAGGGTCCAGTTTCAATGGCCAAGAGTATAGTATGCGCCGCGCAGAGAACAATTCGTTGGCAACTGCTTTATGCATTGTTCATATATTGCTGCATTTTTATTAAGAAGCAACGCAAGCCCCGAAGCAAGCCTCGACATGTGGGAAACACGACTAACGCGCTCCGGGATCATAGACAGCGTCGGGGAAATTGGCGTGTCCAGCATATGCAGATCTTGGATGGCCATGTCGCTGGATATTTATGCCACTTCTTTTTGTTGTGCCAAAGTCAAGGAAAAATATGGTAAATGTGTCACATTTATTATTACTGTAATATATCAGTGCTTTGCTCAGGCAAATAAGAAACTGACATCCGCCCATGGCCTTGATATGTAAAAATGAACGATGATGATAAACAACCTGATTACGGAACAAATCATAGCACGATGTGCATCACCAAGCTCAATCGGCCACGTCACCACTGCATCCGCATCCACTCCGCCGGCCAGAAACTCATATTCTGGCGCCTCTGGCCCAAGCGCCCTGTCCGCCGTCAGTGCCTGCAGCGCGCTCCAGACGCCGGACAACCTGAGCCACCCTGCTTGCGCAGCCTCCAGCCGGCAAGATGGCGAACTACCTGACGGTAGGCTGCTTTTTCCTTGGGACTCTCTCGCTATCGTGTCCTGGGGCCCCTGGCGGGGAGGAGGTGATCTTAGCAACGAATTTCGATATGCTTCTGTGCGGCGCAGCGCGGTCTTTTTCTGCACCCAGGTCGAGCGAAGGGCTTTGAGAGTTTCGCGTCGCGGCCGCGGCAGGTGGAGCTCTTGCCGCGTTGCCGCCGCAGACCGGTCAGCGACTTGCATGCTTGCCGTTCGGTGATTGGAATTCAAAGGGGTGGGGAGGAGAAGGGCGCAGGGCGCCAGTTTTCGAGCACCAAATTAATCTGTTTTCATATCGCGGCATTGTTTTGGGAACGGTTTCGTGCAGAAGCATCCCTATTTGGTCGGTGGAGCCAGTGCGCAACGGCTGTAATTGATTCCCTTGGTTGAATTTTGCGCTCACTTGTGCAGGGTCCTTTTGGTCCGCTCCGTTTCTTCCACCCTGCACCGCCCGTCCAGGTGCGATATATTTCATTCCTTTCATGCCATATCCGTTTCTTGTGCTAACAATGAAAGGAGAGTAGGTAAAGTGAGCGTGCTCCTATGGAGAAAAAAGCAATCCGGGCCTTACATATGTATCCACACAACCAAGTACTTCTTTGCAAACCATCGAACTATCCTTCAACTATTTAGAACTTATCAGTTTTGTAAAGGTAGCCAACATTCTATCAAGAATAAATATACCACTGCCAGTACGCAACTTTGGTGACTGTGGAACTTTTTGCCAACTAATTGTCAAACAGCACTTCAAATAGCCGTTTTCCCTGTGGTTAGGTTGGTTGAATAAATGCGGACCTCAACCCAAGTATTAGAGAGGAAATAGAAGGAAAACGGGAGGAAAATTGACTGCGTATGTCCTTGGATGCTATATATTGGCTTATTGTTGTTAATTACCAAACCCAATACAATTTACAAGCCTTTTACAAATTCTCAAAATATAGAATGGCTGAATGTGGACGAAATACAATTTTGAAACATAACTTTTGAAAAGCAATTACGTAGATAAAACGCTTTGATATCCAGAACGAATAAAATAACAACGTAGTTGGTCAATTGCGACTTGACACATTGACTTTCCGCAAAATTTTCATTGGCAGTGGCTATCATTTTCTGACATTTGCTCCCTATTTGAAATGGATTTGGATTGTGCGTGCGAAAATCTTGATATTTCGAGGGCAAATGGCTTGATCACAATTGTTTCTTTGGGGGGTTTTTACAGAGCGACCCCATGGACATCGATGACATCTGGGACGTGGACGAGATGGAGGGCGTGGAGGAGGACGAGTGCGACCACATGCAGTGGTCGTACTGGTACTACTTCTGAGGGACCTTAGGTGAGCGAATTTGACCATGGCAATGTGCTGAACTCCAGTGCAAAGCGACTTGTCATCCATTTTCTACTGGGTATTTGCTCTTCTTTGGCTTCATTGGTATACTTGTGTTGTTGTGCATTGCCGTGAATGCAAATACGTCCAGAGAACGTTCAAATCATAATTACTTGAAATTAAAATATGAAAAATGCGTTCAGATATGTTTGCGCAGCCACTGAACTTTCAGAAAAAACGTTTGCGCCTTTGTGACCCTTTCTGCAGGATTGTTATTTATGATGCACACACCGATCGTATTACTCTTTTATGTGCAATGGTAGATCTTGCGCTTCTACGCGGGGAAATGCGGTAAAGTACGTAAATGCAATGTAAAAACATGTCCCTATGCATAAAGACAGCGGCCTATAGATAACCATGAATTGGATTTGAGGGACCATTCGCAGTTCCCTAAAGAAGCGCCTTGCCTTTGAAGAGTCCAGATGCATCTCAGGTCTCTCTCATCACCATGTGGAAACCCATTTTCGCACCTGCCCAAGATAGCCCTCATCCAAACAGGAATTTGCGAAGTCATTTCTGCTGGGAAACAAAATAAACGGTGAATTTATTGTCATCAAAATGATTATGTAGAAAAGATTCACGACCGCAGGTCACTATGTACAAACACACAGGTAGCTTTTGACGTCTCTGTGTTGTTTTAATACATGTGTATAGAACGCCCCCGGCACGAAGAGCTGCGACGCGGCCGGGGGCCAATTGCAGAGCAGCTTCAGTTGCCCACCATGGGAAGCTGAGACCAAAACACAGGAAAAATAAAAAAAATATATAAAAAAAGGAAAAAAAACGTTGAACAAAAAAAAGAGTCCTGGGGAAGATGGATTGCCAAGGAGATGGCTGGGAGTATCCACAGATCTGAGCGCCTCTTTTTTGATGGCAATCCATTGTTTGGGTTTTT